CAGTCCTTGTGCTATCTTTTAATGTTTTTAACATATTGCTTTTCTTCTATTACTTGTTTTAACTCTGCACTGTTCACCTCTCTGGAATCTGCCAAGATATGGACATTTGCCTCAATATACTGCCTAGTTATACTGTAAATAACAACAAAAGAGGATGTCTGCCTACCTCAGCCTGCCCATCTACCACAACCATAGTACCAGGACCGTGAACCCTTGACACCCAAAACTTGAGATGCTTACTAATGGGACCGAGGGGGGAGTGCACCTCAGTATTATTTGGTTTAAAATGTAATGAATGCACATTAATTAACATGTATCCATATCACTGAAGTGGTTACACCTTCAGTGACATCTCCAGCCATTTCCCCTCCAAGGGAAGTGGAGTGGGAAGACCTCTCCCTGTGCGGGCTATGGGGGAATGCCAGGGAACGGCAGCAGGAACCGTGTGTCCAAGTCCAACTGCATTTCCTGTATCAATGTGCAGGCTATTCCCACCCGCACAGTGGTCCTACGATGCCAGGTGCCTCCCCATTCTAAGACCAAATAATACATGAACAAATAAAGCGGCCCCCATCTCGCCAATAATAATGCCATAGCCCAATTCGTGAGCTTGCTCACCCAGAGGATTTGGATTCCCTAGAGGAGCTGAATGGAAATAGAGCAGGCCAGAGGGCATCTGCACCTTTGCAAAGCAGTGACTGTCCTGCTCGTAAAGCGGCATCTTGTTAGGCTCTGGGCTTTAAACTTGGCCCTCCTTTTGGAGAATTAAAGCCTACGTTTTGTGGCTTCGGCCATGCCTTGGTGCAAACGTGCTGGGTTTCTGCACTTTGCTGTCCCTTTCTGCGCTGCCCGCACCTGACTTGCGGAAGTTTCTTGCACACTGAGGCTCAGCAGGGGCAGCGAGCGCACAAGTCAGGGACCTGCACGGGATGAGGCCAGAGCTGCACTGCCACAAGACCACATGCTCCTCATCCTATGCACAGTATGGCTTTGGTGGAAGACCCCAGAATGGGCCCCGTGTTGTGCCGTGCACAAGAACAAGCCATCTGCTGCGGTGCCGTTTGCTGTACAAGGGCTCCAGGTGGAGAGGCAATGATGTCAGGGAGGAACAGGGAACCCCCAGCCAGAGCTTGCTCCTCAAAGGTTCTCCTGGAGGTGGGGAGCACACAGGACCATCATGCGCTCCCACGCCGTGCCTTCCCCACCCGGTCTCCAGACCTGGTGCAGTGTTATACATGAATTTGAATTTAATGTATAGGGGTTTTTTCACTATTCACTTAACACTGGGTTCCACCAAGGTTTGCTGTGCTTAAGAGGAAGGGTATAGAAGATCCCTCCACCCAGTGTGGGGACTTCTGCTTCCGCACCGCTCGCTCAATTCAGCAGGGCCAGTGACTCTCTGGATAGCATTTTCAGGGGGTGGAGGGGCTGCTGTGGGAAGCAGGGAGTGAGGAGTGAGATTGCCAGTGTGGCTGATCTGCCTGAAATCTGGATCCGACTCAGTATGTCTTGCTGGTTCTCACTCCCAGTTAACTCTGGTAGCTGATGATGGTTCTTCAGTAATTCAAAAAGGCGCTCTGTGTATTCCCAAAGACATTAAAAAGGTTGTGAGCTTTTCCATAGGAGGCATTTATTGTACTCATCATTCCCCATTCATGGCTATTGAGGGCTTCTTTAAAGGAGAACATGGTGACCCTCCAGCTTTGCTTGTGTGTCTAAAGACAGGTTTTTAGAGCAGGGGATATGTAATATTAATCATGAAAGCAAAATAAATCACTTTTTTCATTTATGGAATTGCATTCACGTAGGCTGTGTGATCTGAGCCCCAAAGTCACAATCAAAAGCACACAAACATGGGATGATTGCAGATTTATTAAGAAGAAATAGAAGTACAAAGAAACAAGCGTACAGGCTGTCTGCCTACAAACAGTTGGAAATATTTCTTATTTATTCCCTTATCAGGGCACAAACCTCCACAATAAGAAAGCTGCCTTGCTTTTGACAAATGAATCTGCAATGTTGATTATGGAGAGACAGTGTGGAATTTCATTTTTGTTCCTATAGTTATAGCCATCATTTCATAACACTCTCGTAAAATTAATTTGCTGTCTTTCTAAAGGTTAGGCAGGGCCACCATCTGGAGATGTAGATGCATAATCTGTTGGCTTGGTTTAATGAGGAACATAAAACAATCCTGCAGTTTTTGTTTCAAAATTGTAACTTAACAGTTTTTGTTTTTAAATGAATTCTGATTCTCGCCTCTCAGTGTTTCATTTTTTTCGTTTCATTTCGCCACAGAAAACTGCTTACATTGTAAAGTGTTTTCAAAATTGTCCTAACAGCCAATATACATATTTGATTTGTTTTCTGTATTCTTTCAAAGCAAACCTGCCAGGGAAAACAAAGCAGATTGAAACAAACCAAGGCTGTCTATGAACATTTGCTATTTTTGCCCAACCCCCAGCCAGAAAATGATCCATCAGAAAAGAATAAGCAAGTCTAAATAGATGCATTTTCCAGTATTATTTGAGTGTTGCCTTAAAACTGAGCACAACTCAACCAAAGTTAAGCACTCTTAGGAATGATCCTAGGGCCCCTAGACAGCATCTGGGAGGCCATAGGATAGCTTGGATTGCCTGCTCTGATCCCCTACCCTCACCCCCCCCACCACCACTGGCACAGAAGAAGCCCACCAGCTGGCCTTTGAGGTCAGAAAGCTGACCTTACAGAGCAGGAAAACAAGGGGGAGTACTGGAGAGGCCAGGATATGAAGGGTCTCTCTGGAGGGCTTTTGCAAGACAGGATCAAAAGACTAGTGAAATGGGCCAGGTAGGAGGACAGGGGGGTGACGGTTCCCTCTGCTGGTCCTTCCCACTCTACCTTGGGTGACTAGAAACCTCCAAGTTCAGGGGCTTATGGGCATCCTTAAGGGCAAAACAAGGCATGAGGTGAGAAATCAGTTGAAAACCTTTCAGAATTAAACACTTTACGGAGATGAATTAATGACTTTGCAGTACACAGGGAGGGTTTTTTTTAACCCTTCCCCCTGCACTATTTTCTGAGCATTAACCCACCTGTTGAAATCAGTGGGATGTAAATGTGCTTAAATTTGGCTGATGGCATCTGTTATTTGCACCAAGCAATAACCCACCAATGCAATCCATGCATTTGAACTGTATTAATTATTTTATGCTTAGGCGTGACAGGCAGAAATTAACAATGTCCTTTAAAGTATATGGTTAGCAGAGGGCAAAAGAAAAAAAAAAGTACAGCAGAGTAAACAACAGTGGAGTCGCATGATGTACAGCACAGACAGCATTGCTTGATGTGTGCTCTTATCTATGGAAGAAATTGAAACCATAACTCGGCATAGTCAAAGTGAGGCAGAGGACAGCAATCTGTGTTAGGATTTCACTGGAGATCAAGAGATATCCTAAAATATTAAGAAAAACCCTTAATCCTCCTTGAAGAAGTCACACACAGAAAAGACTTCTTGGGAAGTTGTAAAACACACCCTTCCATTCACCTAAAACTTTTCGAATAGATCTGAATTGCAGTTTCATGGGTATTTAGGTCTGATCCGGCAGTGCCTGCAGACAGGATGGGAGCGATGGTGCCCAAGCGGAGCTTCTGTGTGACCATTTACCAAGAATTTACCAAAAAAGCCACCCAGCCTCAGTCAGGGCAATTAACCTCCTGGCATGTTTTCTTTCAAGGTTTGTCTTTGTTTTCTTCTTTGCCCAGTGGAAACCTGATTAGACAAGCCCTTCCTATGGGGGCGGGGGGGGGGGCTGTCATGGTGCTTTCTGCCTTCCCAGGAGCCAGTGTGGGCAGGCCGGCCATTGGGAGGTGGCATGTTCCTTCTGCTTCACTGGAACTGAAAGCCTGCTTGTTTTTGTAGATGGGAGGGCCCCGGGGTGCCTGCCATCCCACATTCCCAAGCATTGTCTGCGGGAGTATGTACACCTTGACCTCTGCCTTAGCTGGGAACCAGGACAGCCTGCAAATACAGGCTGTAATTCAGAAGACAATTTGGGAGGCAGCTGTGAGATACGTCCCCTGAGCTACAGCTGCCCAGACTTGTAAGGAGAAAGGATTTTATGACTATTACACAGAGTGGGCTTCTTGACAGGGCTGTGAATGGAAAGAGGCAGAATACTGCTAGGATACATGGCAGAGAGCTGTTGTAGAGCCATTGCTATGTCACCATTTTGACTCTTCAGATGATTTTGGTGACAAACATGCATGCATACACACAAAGGTTGGAAAATTAAAAGTGTTTGACTTTGGGATAGAACTAATGCACCCACACTTCTCCCAGACTCATTCATCAAATTAAGTAGGCACTACTTCACAAAACCTTATGCTGATCCATTTGTGTGCGTTTCATTGAGCCTGAAGGTTGGTCGAAACTGTGTCCATTATACAGATGGGAAGCAGGGCCATGGTTGCCCAGTGACTTCACTGGAACTTGGGTCTGAGCCTGATTTGCATCTGCTGGACCACTTTGGTTGGTCATGGAGGATTCATTCACTCCAAAAGGTTTCAAGCAAATACAGGGGTGGGAGGTGGGGGAATCACTCGCAGAGATGCCTACGGTGCTGGCAGCAAGGTGAGAACAAGGAGAATGCTCGATTTTTTATAGCAACACAGCAAGTCATGCCACATGCCTACGAAGCAAGGGGAGGAATTAAAAGCATCCGGCAGGCCCAGACAGAAGGGGAGCATGTGCTAAATCCTCCCCTTGGTGGATCTCTCTTCCTGCAGCTGTTTTTCTCTTGGTGGGAGCAACTCGGAGTTTGACCAGGAGAAGAACAGGTGGGGAAAAGCTGTTTCAGGGAGAAGTGCCTGCCTGGAGGAGGTCCAGCCTGCGCTTGCTCTGCTTTGAATTGCGCCCCTCCCTCCTGAGCTTGATAGAATTTGGTGCCGATCCAATGGTTACATAAAGGCCCATCACCACCCTCTCTCGCTTGCCCCAGGCTCCGACATCGCTCTCGCCTTTAGCTCTTGTAGCTCTTCCTGGTCGTGGAGGTTTTCGAGACGATCTTCATGCTGGAGCTGCTCCCCACGGAGGGAGCCAGGCTCCCCATGAGTCCCCTCCCGCCGGCGGTGCTCAGGCTGCTTCCTCCCATGCTGAGGCCTCCACCATAGCCCAGGCCAGCCCCGCCTGCGAGGACCATGCCACTTCCACCGCCATAGCTCATGCCTCCGGCAGAGTGGACCACAGCTGGAAAGAAAGCGGAGAAGTGATGGCAGAGAAAGAGGTTTGCACAATGTGAGTGTGTTGTGCAGGAGTGTCTTCGGGTGGAGGCTAACGTCCTTCCCACACCCAGCTCTCTGGGCAGCCCCCGATGGCAACACACTCAGCCTCAGGCTTGGATATACTTACTCTGGGCTTCTGCTAAATTCAGCTTAGTCCACCTGGAGAAAATGTGCATGGGATGCTAGGCCCAGGTTCTCACCTGTGGCTGTCACGGCACATGCTTGGGCTCCACCCATAAAATGCAAGCGACCGTCTGTGCGCATCAGCACCCCGCGAGCGAGCGGGGTGCGCCAACTACCACACGCAGGATTTGAGCCTCCGCATGTTACGGCATGGGGCCGTTGCACCGGTGCACGTGAGCACAGGGCATCCTGTACACAGTGGGAGGCACACCTGGCCAGCTCACCGTGACTGAGAAGTATTCTGGAAGCTCACAGGCAAGGCCAGCATCCTTGGCACACCTCAGACCAAAGTTACACCACAAGGAAGCCGCCAAGGGCTTTCCTGCGACGCTTTCTGCCTGCCCACTCTCCTTTTCCTTTGGTGATGCTGCAGCTTCTGTGAGCTGAAATTCCGTGCTGCTAAATGCCCTTCTGGTGGCATTTGCGGCAAGCCCAGGCCTAGCGAACACCATTGCTGCAGACTTGGCTTGCCAACGCCCCATTCTCTTCCACGCCCCATCTGGTATGGAGCCACTGCATGAAGGTGCTGGCAGGGAGAGTGCAGGGCAGGGACTGATAGACTTCCTTGCTTTCTCCCAGGAGTGGTCCCACACGCCCTCTCAGTTCCACTGAAGGGAATTTTACACACCCCTTTGTATCTTTACTTGAACAATATTTTGTGTGGCCAGTTCTCGGGTACAGATAGCTTTGTACTCCTTGCCAGGCCCAGGAAAGCACGGACTCAGAAAATAGGTTCTCTGTTTATTTTAGGAACTGGACAAGCTTGCAGAGGAAAGTCTGTTGTCTGTGGCTTTTAGCCAGGACAGCTACAAATGAAACCTCCCTGCTTTGAACCAGAATAAACCTGAGATTGTGCAGGAACAACACACATCCTGTTTGTGGGCTTTCCAGAGGCCCTGTTGGGCCCCTGCAGGAGACTAGGAGGACTTTGTTCTGACCCAGCAAGGCAATTTCTATCTTCTTCCATGCTTATGGAATCTATGGAGGGCATGGAACCTGGAGCTCACCACATCTTGGACTACAGCTCCCATCGTTCCTTGGCATGGGCCCTGCTGGCTGTGACTGATGAGGGTTGGCATTTAGCAACATCAGGAGCCCACCCCTGAAATTCTGAACTGAATCTGCGGATCCATCCTCCGGAAAGAAAGCAACTGAGGAAGTTTGAGGAAAGCCAAAGGGTTCTAGATGTTACCTAAAGCAGATTCTGAAGCAAACATGAGGTTCTTTTCAGCTGAAATATCTCCTGAGTGGCAAGGAAAACTAAAGGAATTTTAGAAAAATTGGGGTGGGGGAATCAGCTCTCTGATTCCCGGTTGCAACTATTTTGCCTTGAAGCACATGCCACTCTTTGGGCAACTTTGCCGCTACCAAAAGGTGCAACATCCCTTATCTTGCATGTTGAAGGGAGGACGGAAGGAAAATGGATCCGCTCTCCAGTAGGAGTGCAGAACCTCCAGCCAGGGGCCAAATCTGGCCCATGTGGTATCCCAATCCAGCCCTCTGAGTTTCCACATTTCCTTTCCCAAGTCCCATCTGCTTCCTTCAACCAGCAGCTATTTTGTGGTTTCCTGGCTTGCGTGCTATTTCCCCTCCATTCTCAAAGACATGCCTCTGCTAAGTCTCAGCTACTAGTAATAATACATTTAAGCCAAAATAGTCCATAGACTTTTTTTAAAAAATGCCCTGCCTCTTTTGCTTTTAAGCCCAGCAGAATGCAGCATTCTGAAATGGAACGTGGCCCTTGGATCACAGCTTTATCTTGCTTTATTTTTCCAATTCACTTTTTTCTTACTTACACATATTGACTGCGCCAACACCCTCTCCAGCAAGCCTGTCAAAGGAAGGGACAGAGAAAGTTACTGCTATAGTTGGGCTCAGCCTCTAGAAGCACAATAGCAGTTATCCAGGCCTCATTTGCCAAGAACTTCAGAGGTCACCACTGTATGTACTTCATGAAAAATCAGTTCTACCCAAGACCATTAAGCTGTGCACCAGGATCTTGCACTCTGTGCACAGTGAGATCTGGTCAGAGGCGGCAAGTGAACAGCCTTTCTGAATATCCAGCTTCCCCTCCGTGTCTGGAAGGGAGTCCCTGGAGAAGCGTGGATGGGTGTGTTTTGCCAACATCACCCCTGCATCAGAAGGATCATGTCAGCTGGCCTTTGGAATTATGGTATCCACAGGTCTGGCTCCAGGCTAAGAGGGCCTTCAGTGGGGCCAGCACTTTGGCTTGCCATAAGCCAAGGGCTAAGACAGTCTGCCTTTCCGAGGCATCATGGGCTTAAAAATATCTCCCCACCGCTGCCTTTCACAGGACAGCTGTGCATGTCACACTCCAACAGAGCCCACATTAAGATACTTTCCGAACAGAGAACAACTTTCCTTATTCAGGACCTTTGGGTTCAGGATCAACTCACCGGCTCTCCTCCCCTTCCAGCAGCTTCGTGTAGGTGACGATCTCAATGTCCAGGGCCAGCTTGACGTTCAAGAGCTCCTGGTACTCCCGCAGCTGCCGGGCCATGTCCGCTTTGGCCTTTGTGCGCGCCTCCTCCAGTTCGGCTAACTTTGTCCTTGCATCTTTAAGAGCAAGTTCTCCACGCTGCTCAGCATCAGCAATGGCTGCCTCCAGGTTGCCAATCTACAAAGAAGAGCAGTGGGAGCCTTCCTTTGGAGCAATGTCATGCCAATCCAACCCCCCACTCCCACTCTTCCAAGTCAAAATATCAGAATCCAGTATGTCACCAGCAGAAAACAGGACTGGTGCCCCTTCCCTGCAAAAAAGGTCTCTTGTCTGCTGACAAGCACTGCTGAAGCACTCAGGGGCCACAGTCGAACAGGCCTTGCTTGCAGCATCCACACATCTTTCCTTCCCAGTTAGCATCCCACCAACCTGACAACATTTGGAGGTTTGGAGTGATTTTCAAGGAAATCTTCCCCAACTAGCCCACCCTGCCCACCTCTGTACAAATATAAGGAAACAGCCCACTCAGGGTCCATCTAGTCCAGCATCCTGTTTCCAGTGATAGTCAGCCAGAGCCTATGGACAGCACACAAGCAGTGCATCGAACAGAAACATAGAAACAGAGCGAGTCAGAAGGGGCCTCCCAGGCCATCTAGTCTGACCCCCGGCTCCAGCTGGCTCCACTAATGGCATGCCTACCTTCAAGTAGCTTTATCTGGTTGTTTCCCCACATGCAACTGATATTCAGAGGTAGATTGCTTCTGAGCATGGAGCTTCCTCATAGCAATCCTGGCTAATATGTACAGTATAGATCTGTCTTCTAAGGAATTATCCAGTTCTGTTCCTAAAAAACTGCCCATAGGTGCAATCTTGTACATGTTTAGACAAAAATGGTCCTACTATTAGAATTCTGCTAGGAATCGAAGGAATATATATATGGGGGGTGGGTCTAAACATGCCTAGGATTCCTTCCCAATCCAGTGAACATTACTGCATCATGGTGGCAATGAATTTCATTGTTCCAAATCAGCTTCTACATCCAGAAGCATCCAATAGTTAGTGAGCTTTTCTACAGGCTGTTTTCACCTAATTGTCCCAGCATCTAACCTCTGATGTACACATGCGTGTAATCACTCTTGGGTATTGCTGCTGTACTGGGGGCGTGCATGTGCAGGGTCCTCCTTTTCTTTGCCTGGGGAAGTGCGCCCTTGCTGATTCCTCAGTGCCCCTCCCCTCCAATTCCCTTCCACAAACATCAGCCACTGCTTGCCCACTGGAGCTTTAGCACTTCTAGGAGCAACCAGAAGTGAGTGGAGACACGTGCTCTTGGTCAGCAGAGCTCACAAAGCGGGGGGGGGGGGGCTCTTCCAACCTTTCCACTTGTTTCAGGGTGTCATCTAAGCAGCATGAAATCTTCACTGCACAAACTTTGAGTTATACTTGCATGGTGGAATCAGCAAAAGAGGCCATTTGCACACTAATCCCACTGGGTACTGCCTGTGTTTTTAATTTAAACTGCATGTTGCATAAAGAAGAACCGTCTTTTCTCTGTCCAGTATCATCAGTTTCCCCTTCAACAGCACTCCTGACAGCCACAAACCTCACCCCGCTTCAACCACATATAAACATATTGAACTACATTTTTTCCAACCCTTGGAAGAGTTTAGATTTGGGCAGGGCAGGGCAGGGCCTGAGAGGGAACAAATATCACTGGAGCACAGTAAGACCCCTTCAGGGGATTCTGCCAGCGGGCATCAAACCTTCTGGCAAAATAACTGCAGGGAAAAATGTCCGCCTCAATTTCTGAAGCAAAAATGAAGCATTTACACACATGGAAGTTAATTTAAGGCATTTCTGTTTCTGAAGTTACAACCCTGCTCTGGTATCATGTATGCCCTGTTTTTATTCTTCTGATGCCTCCCACTGCCCTGCGACATGCTCTAGAACCCCGTGTGTCTTCCAGTGCCAGCATGAGTTGCTTGCAGGTGAGACTTTCATCATGCATCCATCCACCCGGACTCCTCTGCAGAATTCAGGATATCTCCTTCTCCTACTGCCAACCCTTCCCGTTTTCCCTCCTCACTTTTATTTTCTATACATATAGGCTGAGGAAACCATGGAACGGTTGTACAAAAGGGAGCGCCTGTTGGGGAGCTACACCAACCCACTGGTGTAGAACGTGCTTCTGCCCATTTTGGAATTTATCCCTTGAAGTGCTAAATCCCTACTGTGCAGGTAGATGATGCTTGCACACTGGAATCATGGGAGTGGCTGCCTGCAGGCCAGGCTTGGGCAGCCTGGGCTAGCGCCCATCTGACTGGCAGAGCTTTTGCTGGATAGCATCTCCATATTCCTTTTAAATGTGGTGGAAGCATTGAGCACGCACCCCTTCCTGTGCCCTCTTTCTAGGTGAGTGGGCCAATCCTGCAGGCAGAAGAATGCCAAGCTGGACTTCTTGTATCTGCAAGGAAGTGGTGCACTGGCAAGTGGAAATCTTATAGCCGGCAAAGCTTATCATGGAATTTTCCACAAAGCATGTCAAACCGTTTTCTGTTTTTGTATTCGATGAGTTTTGCTTTTACTCGTTTCATGAAGGCTTTTGCTTGTTTGGTTCCTTCCAAATTCCTTAGATGATTCACCTGAAGAGAAGCCTCCATGCATTTTTTATTTAGGTAATGATTTGGCTCAAGTAAATGGAAGAGGAAACCTATAGACCCAGGCAACACCCTCACCGCAAAAATGATGTTAGTCTAACTGACTATTACCCCTTCTCTCCCCAAGCAGGAGCCCTAAAAATATGGCATGCAACAATGTCATCACCTGTCTTTTAACTGCATCAATTTCTGTGGTGAGTCTTTGGACAATGCGGTTCATCTCTGAGATCTCAGTCCTTATATTCTGCAGGTCATTTCCATGCCTTCCAGCTGAAAGCTGCAGCTCTTCATACTGTGGAGTGGTAGGTGGGGGAAGAAACCCAACAAAGCAAGGTCAATTTATCTGAACAACATCATATCAGTTTTGATCTTTGGTGAAGAACTGTGGAGGGGAATGTGTGTGGATGCACCCATTTTGATTGACTTTCCAAGACTGGCTACTTCAAATTCAGAGAATTCTTATTTCCAATTTTTGGGCTGGAACGTTTTTAATGTCTAGCATGCAAATATTAAATGACAATAGTTGTAGTGAGTGGGCCAAGCACTCTTGGCTGTGTTTTTGGATTCTGAAGGAGGATCAAAGTGGGGCAGGAGTCTTGCAAGTCCCATCAAGAGCACAGCCTGAAGTTTCCCAGGGTGACTCGAAGAGCAAGCATGTTTTGGAAAGGACAGAAGGGGACCCGGGACAGGAGGGAAGGCAGTTGCCTTGCCCAGTCCTTGACCCCATGATGAGGCACTGGAAGAGATTAACTTCCCAGGTGGAGCCCACCCTGTTACTGAAAGGAAAGGATTGGGGAGAAGTGTCCAGTTCAAACTCAACTCTATATGAGCAGAGGCTTCGGTTCAGCTTGCTAGAGGGCTCTTAGAATGGAATTGCATTGTCTTGTTAGCTATGAAGTGCCAGTAAAGATCTGCATTGTGAAGGACCCTTCAGTGTTTTGAGTCTAAGGGCAAGAAGGGCAGGATCTGGCTCTCAACAATGGTGCATTCATGCAGGTGGGGGGTGGGGGGGGCAGGAATTCAAGCTTCCCCTTTGCCTCACCAGCTAGCAAAATGAGCAGGAGCACCCAGATACAGGGCAGTAAACGAAGCAATGCACATTGTTGTTTAATAGCTCGATGGAGCCTCTGGGAACAGCCATCAGCAGATTCGGGGCAAGGTATTACCAAATGTGGATGCAGCTTAGCTCTGCTTGTCTGGGACACCTGAATCAGGAGAGGCCATGCAGGTTCTGAACCAGTGCATGGATACAGGTAGGGGTTCAATGAGGGCTAATAAACCAAAGGTGAATCTTGTTGAGACAAAGTGTGAGCAGCTCCCAGGTCAGGGAACGGGGCAGGTTGCCTGTTGTGGATGAGGTTGCACTGCCTTTGAAGGAGCAGGTACGTCGTTTGGGGGTCCTCCTGGATGCACCTTCATCACTGGAAACCCAAGTAACCTCAGTGGCCTGGTGCTCCCGATAGCAACTTTCCTGGGTACACCAACTGTGTTGGTTCTAGGACAGCCTAATCCTGGTGTCCCATGCACTGGCCTCATGATCGGACTGGTGTGATGCACTCTGCTGGGTTGTCCTTGGGCCTGCTAGTGAGCAACATAGCAGCACACGTGCTCAATGGGACACCTGGCTATGTTCACCCTACACCTGTATCAAGAGTGGCACCAGCTGCCTGTCAACTCTCTTCTGATGTTGACATGCAAAGCCCAAATGTACTTGGAACCAGGACACGCACAGATGACCTTTCCCTCTATATACCCAGCCAGTCTTTATGATTCTCAGGGGAGGCCTTGCCAATTGTTCCACAGGTCAAGCAATGTTGCCATATAGGTTTGCAAAGGAGAACTCTTGCCCAGAATAGCACATTGAAACCTGATTTTTAATATTTATAGGCAAACCACTTAGAGATTATCCACTTAGATAGATAAGCATCTAAAGAGTCACTAACATAAATCCACCGCGTAAATTTACCCAAGTGCACCATGCTTCATAAGTTAGTGTGGGATATTGGTGCTGTCCAAAAGGGAAGCCCAGCCATCGCTCCAAAGCCCTGAAGTGCAGAATCCTCCCCGGGTCCATTTCTCCAGTGTTTCACAGGCATGGCCCTTCTCACCTTGCTCTGATACCAAGATTCGGCCTCGGCTCTGCTTCTGTTGGCAATGTCCTCATACTGGGCCTTGACCTCAGCAATGATGCTATCTAGGTCCAGGTTTCGGTTGTTGTCCATTTGAAGGACGACGGATGTGTCTGAAATCTGGCTCTGCAAGGCAGTCAACTCCTAAAGGGGTGGGAAAAGACACAGTGAGCCCATGATCGAGTTCAGGGGCTTGAACAGGGAAGCCTTGCATGTTTTGTGAGCAAAAATGACACTCCCATCCCGGTCTACTCATGCAGGCTCCAGGTTATTCTCTAGAACACTGAAGGTGTTGATAAAAGCTTTATAATTGTAAATAAAGAGGAATTGCAGATTTGGCATCATTTGTGGAGTGCGGATTAACCAAAGAATCTATTTTACTTGAGGTGATTTGGATGAGAAATTAATCAACTAGCTTTTGCCTTCAGTAAAATTTAAATAAATCCCAGAAATTATTTTTAGAAGTTGAAAATTTAAACATAAATTCTAGGAGATACACACGTGTGTGCATGCAAATTTGTATCCTTTGGGCCTAGGCTCTAAATCTTTTATGTGCATAACAGCACTCCAAGCTGCAACCCCTCTTGTTTTGGACTTCAAGGAAAATACCCAGTAATGGCCAGTACTGAGAATGTAGCCCCTGCAGTGGTCCTTGCTGGTGTTTGATGTTTTTAGAATGAAGGCTTGCTTTCATTTCTTTTTATATTTTATACTTGCTTAATCCAGATTCCTTTCGATCCCACCTACATGTACTTTGCCCATTGAACCAGCATATCACATAAAACCTCTGTTTGTATTAAGTTGGAATCTTTGCCAACAGTTGCCAAGCAGATAACCCTACAAACTGCTTTACAAGATAAATTAAAACACATCTGTATATAAAAATGTTTTCTATACAAATTAGAAACAAACACAATTACAGAGCAGCAAGATAATAATCAGTGCACAGCACAACCAACCAGACACAGATTGGAACGAACTCTTCAGAGCTCTCATGAAACCAAGAGGGGACCGAATATATTTCCCTGGGAATGACTTTCACTTCCTGTGTATAATTCAGTTTCCCCAACCTGTTGCCCTCCAGACATGTTGGACTACCACTCTTTTCATCACTACCCAGCAAATCTACTGAGCCGGGGAAGATGGGAATTTTATTCCACCTCTTGTACGGGTGGGAGCTGCCTGGTTGGAGAAGATCCTCCAAAGCATTCATCTGTAAATCAGCAATTGCCCTCTAGAGAGTAGAATGGATCCTTACTTCATTGTAGAACACTTTCAGGAAGCTGACTTCGTCTTGCAGGGCATCCGCCCTTGTCTCCAATTCAATCTTGTTCATGAAGGAAGCATCCACATCCTACAAAAAGCATTTGGGATCAGTGCATGTTGCAACTGCTACCGATTCCCCCAGAAAGCCACGCCTTCCCTTTCCTTCAGAGCACAGGGGTTCAGGCCTGCCTGTTTCTAGGCCTGTGCTTTCCTGCCTCCACACTGAAGGCACTGAAGTCGCTCACCTTCTTGAGTACCACAAATTCATTCTCCGCAGCGGTGCGCTTGTTGATTTCATCTTCATACCTGTCGGGAAGAAAGCAGAACCATACAACTCATCACTGCTCAAAAAGAGGAAGGCAAGCAAGGATGAGCAAAAGAGAATCATCTGACTGCGGTGGCCCAGCTGTTTCATTGAACTTTTCTTTAAAAGTCTCCATTCATAAGTCACCTGCAATATCAATCTGTGGGTTGGATCCAGCTTCTTCTCCATCAGAGGGAACGTTCTCTGAGAGTACAAAGTAGATTTGCCCTCTTGGAAGAAAAGGAGGGGAGATGATCATTGCCAAAGTCTTGCTCCATCTGCAGCCCCGACACAAACTCCCTCCCTGTTCCACAGCAGATTTGAGCATCCTGGAACTGATCTGAAGGAGGCAGAGACTGCAGAGGGATGGGGCCCCTTATGAAGACTTTTTCACTTGCGGGAGTGGTCTCCAGGGCTGGCAGCTTTCCAGAGACTGAAGGAGCACTTCCACTGGCAGAAAGAAGACCCTGGATGCAGGCATCAGTGTCTTTCACGAGGAGCAAAGTGGAGGGATGAAACTCACATACACAAAACAGGAGGATTCCTATTTAAAGGTATTAGATTTTCTGAAGCCAAGATGGAAATAAGCACACATTCAAAATGCAGCATGAGAATGTATGGTGACGGTACTAAATCAGCCCAAGAGTCCATCTAGTAAAGCATTAGTAGTAGCTAGTCAGATGACCAGGAATCCCAGAATGACAAGAACCCTGCTGTGTTGTTTGTCCATAACATTTCCAAAGGTTCCACTGACCTATCATGGATAATAAGAACTCACAGACCCGTCTCTTTTGAATTTGTTTGTTCCAAATGTTGCAAAAGCATCTAAGCTAACAGGTAGCATCACAAGCAAACTTTTAAAATTCAAATTTGAATACATGGCAAGTTTACAATGCCACCTTGCATATCTGAACTGGAGGCATTTTTTTTTAAAGTAGCCTTTGTGATAAATTTTAAAGCAACAGTGATTGGATAAAAGAATACTGTGTATTTGCTGGGACATTTTGGAAGAGTTTTAGAGACACATCAGAATACAGTTTTAAAATAAAAATAAAATAAAATAAAAATTCAGGTACAAAGAAAGGTAGGCAGAAAATCAAAACAGAATGGGATACAGTAGGATAACGGGATACTCATTCTGCAATAAAAGCTTTGGCATACTCTGAACAGGAAACATTTGAGTGCAGAAATATATTAGGCAAGCTCATTAAAAGATAATGGGAAAATAAATACAATAATAAGAATTAAATGGTGTAACATTATATTTATTTATTTAGAATATTTTATATCACTCCTCAACCAAATGGCTCTCTGAAACAATTTACAATACGTTATATGTCAAGGGGGCATTTCTAAGTATTTTTGTCAGATGTATACCTCAAAGAAACCCTAAGAGGTAGTTATACCAAATGATACTACAGATGTTGATATTCCCAGAAGTACTGGGAAGCCCATAAAGATAGGTTAGAGATGACTCAACCATACATTGAAGGTTGAAAAGACTATAAAATAGATTAAAAAGGAAAAAGCAGAATCCAGAAGAGATAATAGGAAAAAGTTATCAAATGATTAGAGATGTAAATATACCTGGGTTTTTAAGGTATTCAAGAAGTGAGATGAGAGTAGCAAATGGGCTACCTCATTTGTGGAAAGAAAACTATACAATCATGTTTCCTAAAGAAGGGAGAAATTCAGAAAAGGACCAAACTTACAGACTCTTGTTTGAGTGTTTCTGATTATAAGGGCCTGGTGGGTAATATTAGTAGACAAAGCAAATGTTCTTTTTTGAGAGGATATCGGGACAGTTCAAATAGGATTCATCCCAGGAAGACACCTATCCTGGAATATTATAAAAATAGTAAATATGCTTAATTTTGCTAAACACACAAACCTAAAAGACCCTTGCATCTTTTATTTTGTAGATGCAGAGAAAGCATCTGTTTCAGTTTATGTATTTATTAGATTTATATCCCCCTTTTCTTACAATGAACTCAAAGTGGCTCCCATAATTCTCTTCAGAAAGCAGTTCAGAAAGCAAAAAAGACTTTGACCTGAAATATGTAACATCTTGCTAAAAATCAGCAATGCACACGTAGATGCTACTCTGGAGCAGCACTGGGAAAGGGAATCTAGCGTTAGAGTTTCTGATGAACACTGGGGATGTGCTTGTGAGCAAATGGGAAAAAATGGGATGCAGTCTCCAGGAGAAAATTCTCCCACTGGGTCATGGGGAGGAGCTCTCCATTAGTAATGTCAGTGCTGCTGGCAATACTGGTTTCCTTTTTCCCTCAAGGGATTCAGGACACCTCTTTTTTCTAAGATTTGGGGTGGCGGGACGTCTGCTACTATGGCAAGTGGCAGCTACATCAACTGTGTTGGAGCTTGGCCCTGCCAGTTTGCGACCTTTCCCGTGCCCCAGATCACCTCTTTCCACGGTATGGTGTGAGCGTGTGCGGAGGGTGGAGGAGCTAGAATGGCAGCCTGAACACATGATGAAGAATATTTGGAGAAAATTCTGCAAAGTGGTGCTCTTTTGGGAGGGCGGGGAAGGGGTGGAGAAAAAGAAAATATCAGAAATGTTTGTGGGGGAAAGTTCAACTAAGAAATGTCTGCCCAGATCTCGTAGCAGCTCTATGATGCCTCCTATAGTTTATTTTTTAAAGCTGGACTTGCCCTCATTTCTTTCCATATTAATGCATTCTTATGTGCTGCCAGGTAGTCTCTGACACAGGGCTACCCCATGAAAGAAGGGCCTCCAGAATCTCCTGTCCCTGGCAGACCTGCTCAGCTTCTGTAAACTCAAGGATGTGGCTCCCTTTCAGAAGCTGATCCATCTCATGGTTCACCTTCCTCGTCTTCTTCTGCTTCCAACCATTCCTAGCTTTGTTGCCTTCGCCAGGGAGTCTGGCCTTCTCACGATGTGCCCAAAGTAGGACAGCCTCAGTTTGGGCACTTTGGCTTCCAGGGAAGGCTCTGCTTGATCTGATCTAAAACGCTAGGCTCCACATAAGACACACTGATGTTTGATTCTTACAATTATGTCACATAAATCTGGCCATATAAGGACTATTCATGTTATTTATTGATTTTATATAATGCTTATAGGTTCTCTTTAGTTGATACTTCCAGGCTGCCCTGAGTTCTATTTTAAGCTGAAACAAGGAACACTATTTAAGTAATTCTAACAACTGATTCCAACATGAATTCCAGTAGCAGGAGGTAAGGCTACTAGCCACACTTCTGAGCTGCACATCCTGTTCCAAAATGCTTCTGGAATTTACAAGGGGTAGGCCATCTGGAATGGGATTTGGTATGTGAGTCCAACCCCGGATCAAGAAGCTATTCAACACAGGAATTAAAATATAGGTCAGGTCGCAAGAGCCAGGCTGTTCAGTCAGACATCAACTCTGCCCAAGAGTTTTTCTGTAAGCAAGTCTTGTATGGAAGATAAAATTTGTAATTGTCTGCTATGAGCAACGTGACTTCTGATTCTGACCATGACCATAAAGCCACATATGCACCACCTCAACACTGAACCAGAAAGTGTCTTGAAGTTTTCAATTTGGGCACCCATTTATGTTAAATGTTTCTGAAGGAAGACAAAGAGTAACATGACTAGCTGTCTTTAATGACTTTACTTTGAGGGGAAGACAAGCCCGATCTTCCCCTTGCCGTGCCTGATCTTGCCTACTCCTGGAGGCTAAGCAGGATTGGGCCAGGTTGAAATCTGAATGGGAGACTTGAGGCCTGCAGTGAGCAGGCAGTTGACCTGAAGGCCTGCTCATCCCCCTCCAACTGTATGGTTCTATGATCCCTCCTCTGGCTTTTCAAATTGTTGACAAGATACAAAGATGTTCCTGAAATTGCTCTTTTATGGAGCAGCATTTGTATGAACAGCTCTTTGTGGAGATAGAAATATAGAAACAGAGTGAGTCAGAGGAGGCTTCCCGGCCATCTAGACTGATCCCGGCTCCAGCCGGCTCCGCTAATGACATGCCTACCATGTGCATGTCCAAACTTCTTGAGATGCAACTTCTTGGAGCCAAGCGATGGAAAAAAGCCAATCAACAACCTGTAAAACCTCATGAAGGTGGCCATTTTTGTAATCCTCTCATCATATCTTTGGAATTGGCTCACCAGAGAAGTTAGCTTGGTGCCATCACTACAATCATTTTACCACCAGGCAAAACTGTCCCCCACTCCGCTCCACCCCAGTCATTTTAATTAATCAATTGAATTGTCAGCTTGGAATTTTCCACTAGATGGGATTCTGATATGCTGCTGGAAGATCTCACTTCCTATTGAGTAGGTTGCTGGTACCCATCAATGGCCACCATTTTGGGGTGATGGAAGATGAGAGAAACATCTATCCTTGCCAGAAGCCCTCAGAAACTTGGGTAACACTGGTGGGCAGACAAGCACCCCAAATGTTTGACTGGGGACTGGCCAGCCACGTCTGTGAAAGGCACGGTGCCCCAGTGGAGTGAGGGTGACTAGTAGGGATGAGTGAGGAATCTGTTTTGGGTCCGGGCGTCTGTCCGATTCCCTGGGCTACGCTCCCTGGACTCCAGTCTGCTTTGTTGCACCCCTGAATCCAAGTTCCTGGTGAGCGACCAGCTTTAGCAGGCTGCTTACCAGGAACCGAGTCCCACAGACTGCGCCTGCAGCATCCCTCTTCCGCACCATGCGCAGTGGCTTTTGGCAGTGCTGCTGCTGCTGCTGCACCTGATGCAGAAGAAGGTTGCTGGCTGTGCGACCTTCTGCATGTGCAGAGCTCCTCTCAGCTTGGCTGGCTTTCCAAGACTGGGCTGAGCACAAGAGAAAGTTCACAGATGCTAAAGAGGGCTGGATCCTGCTGCTTTGCATCTCCGCCCTAGTGACTATCTTTCGACATGCATTTGCACAGTGCAACCATGGTGACTTGGTTCTGCCTCCACAGCTGTATCCTAACAGTTTGAGATTGAGATTTGGGACTTCTCCCCTTCCTCAGCTGGCTTTCAGCGATGTCCACCCATTCCTTCTAGGCAATCACTTCACTTGCTGAAATGCATTTATCTTCTCTTGACCAGTTAATTTATTTTGCTTTCCCTGTGCTCTCTCCATGAAATTTGCCTCAAGATTTTGTTTTAGTCAACTTGATGTGATGGTAATTTGGAGATGTACAAGATGTAGGAGATATTTCTCCTGCTGAGAAATATCAACAATTTAAATGGTGATAAACTTTTAACTTCTTTTGAAATTCCCCTGTTGAGTAGGACCCACCTAGTTTTTGTTTTTAATGAATGCCATTCTGCAAAATAATCAGCGATGGTTACTTGGAAATTCTTTTTCACACAGTGCATACTTACGTTCCATTGCCACAAAATGCAGTGACGGCCTCCAACTTAGATGGCTTTAAAGGGGGCCAAATTAATGGAGGGTAAGATTGCAGATGGCTATTAGTCATGATGGCTGTCTGTACCTTCCAGGATGAGAAGCAGAGGGGTGCTGACCTATCCCAGAATCAAAGGCAGCCCAGGTAGGAGACAACAGCAGGGGAGGCCTATTGCCCTCCTGTTCACCTTCTGGGCTTTTCTTTTCTTTTATAACTTTTCTAACTTCTTTTATATCATTTATATTTTTATTTATTTTATATTATTAATTTTAATTTTATATTGTTATTTTTGTATTGTATTGTATTGTATTGTATTGTATTGTGTTGTAAGCCACCCCGAGGCTTCGGCAAGGGGCGGCATAGAAATGTTCTAATAAAAATAATAATAGCCACAACGGTCTGGGGATGCTGAGCCAGAAAACCAGAAAAGCTCATTTTATGTCCCTGTGGCTTCTCCTTGCAATCTGTGCCTCACACCAGTATTTCCCAAGTGGGTTTGCTACTCAGTTTTGCTTCAAGGAAAAGCCGCATCGACTCTGAAAGCTCCTGCTGAGGCAACACATCTGAGCAATGCTGAGGAGAGGCAAGAGGGCTGCAATCAGATAAAAGCTCCCATCTCCCCGTCCACAGCATGCTGTGTGTGGTGAGTGAACTGACTGCTACTTTCTCAGTGGGCTTCCTAGGGCCATCAATATTGGGATTCAGAAGAAGAGGAAGGGACCTTGGAGCGGATGGAGATGGGAGTTCTGGGAACCCAAGGAGAGGCACAGGCTTTTGAAGAGCTCTCAGGGTAGCCGCCCAAAGGTTCCCAGGCTGACCTGGAGAGTGGGAATGCTTTGGAAAATGCAGGGGAGCAAAGGGAGGAGAGGAGGGTGAGCCATTATCTTGCCTGGTCCCTGACCACATGACAGGGCAGTGGAAGAGAGAAACGTCCCAGTTAGAGGGTTTGTCTTATTGGCTGGCCCTTCAGCCCTAGGAGCCATTCCGATGATGGAGCCTGCAGAGTTACTGGAAGGAAGGGTTTGGGGGAGAAGACCCTACTGTGCAGAGGGTTATCTTCCAGCTTACTAGAGGGCTTTTAGAGTTACTTTGTCTTGCTGCTGCAAAGTGGCAATAAAGATCTGCCACTTTGCATTGCAAAGAGACCGTTTGGTGTTTTAGAGCCTGAGGGCAAGAAGGGCAGAGCTGGGCTCACAACATTAATCTGCTGGGGGAAGTAATCTGGAAGCTTGGGCAAAGGCACCCTCAGTACAGAGATGAGGCTCAGTCCTAGTGCTTATTTCGACCCCTAGTCCCAAGGAGCTGTGAAATCTTGGAACCAGAGTTCGGAGGCAGTTTGGGTGGATGAGGGTGAAGAAACAGACCTTCTGCATGCCGGAGAAACAGTGGGTAGAGAAATGGACTACTCTAGAAGGAGGTTTAAGCCTGGTCTTAGCTGGGGTTCTGCTCCCCTGAAAGACCCATTGTCCTCAGAGCATGTGAGAAGTGAGGACAGAGCCAGGCAGGGTGGAACTTTCCCTCTAATCACATGTTGACTCTGATCTGCAAGAACCCCCTCAAGGGCTTCTGGGCTCAGTGCCAACTGGGGAAGCTCAGGTGGACCAGGATAGCTTTTTTAAAGCCTGGCGCCACAGCTGGGTTACCAGCCTAACAAGGAAGGAGGCTCAGTTTCACCAGTGATTTAAGGCTGGGATTCTGGAATGCATCCTAAGTGAGGCTGGCTTTAAAGATGGTTCAGAAAGTTCAGCTGATGCAGAACGTGATTTTGGGATTCCTGGTGGGGACAGTGCATGAGGTGTTGGCTTGGATGCCTCATATTACTGGTTTTTCGGCGCCAGGTAAAGACCTTTTTATTTAAACATCATTTCAATTGTTAAAACATATGATCTGGCCAGGGCAACTTCTTCTTCCTTCTCTTTCTCCCCCTATATTTTTATTTTATACTGATAATTTTAATTTTATATTTGTAAATCAATGTATTTTTTGTATTTTTATATTTAATGGTAATTTATTATGTACTATTGTATTTCAATGTATTTTATCATGTTGTAAGCCGCCCCGAGGTTTCGGCAAGGGGCGGCATAGAAATGTTATAATAATAATAATAATAATAATATTATTGCTGGTATTTATTATTGTGGCTTATTACTGTAGAAGTTTTATTCTGCAGGCTGCATAGGGAGGGCTTTTGACTTTAAAGGTGGCCTAAAGTTGGGGAAGGTGGTAGAAAGAAGACAACCATGAAGACTGGGGGTTTGGGGCTTGCATTCTACATAGCCATCCCTACAAAAAAATGCATATGAGGCCAAGAGGAAAATCTGCTGTGCCAGTTGAGTAATAACACGGAGAACAGGTAAGAATGAGTCAAGACAAGGATACCTTTGAGAAAGTATCTTCCTCATTTTTTCCTTTAAATTGCCCACCTGATCCTGAAGTCTTCCACTGTATCATTCATGTTTTTCATTTCTGTCTCTAGCCGTGGTTTTTCCAGTAGAATCCCATCCAGCTTTTTCCTTAGACTATTGATGTATGATTCAAACAATGGCTCCAAGCTATGACTGGCGATCTTCTGCTGCTGCAGCAGGCTCCATTTGGTCTCTAGCACTTTATTCTGTTGCTCCAGGAAACGGACCTAAATGAATCCCACCAGCAGAAAAAAAGAAGTGGCACACTACCTCACTGACTGTTAAAATCAACATGTTGTTGCTAAGTTTCCCCACCACCACTAAAACTAATAGCTCAACACCCTTCTCCCCTCCTTTAAATAAATTGCAAGGACTTATGAGCCAGGACTTCACACAGAAAAAACCTCAGTTTGGATCTGATCTTCACACAAAGATTAGAATCAGATCATCCAGAAAGCAGACAACTCCTGCAGCTGGTGGCCAAATGGGGAGACCCAGCAGTGAAATCAGGGAGTGTTATCTTTAGGCACGTCTATCTAATGCTGCTTATTTCTTAGGATGGAGCTTCCATACATCCTGAAGTGCCTGACCCTGCCTAATCTTGGAAGCTAAACAGGGTTGGGCCTAATTGAAATCTAGATGCCTTAATGTTGTGACCCTCCCAGAGAGCTTCAGGCAACATAGAAATGTAATGTAATAATAATAATATTTGTCTTTATGGGGAATTTTGCATGGATGTTGACATACATTTTAAAAACCAATGTCTAGCTCTGTTGGAAATAAAGAGACTTCATGCATGCAGATAACTGTGCTCCCAAGTAGTGAAGTTTACCACAAGGCTACCTGGCTCTGTGCTAGAGCCTCCCCTTTCATGTTATGCTCATGCTTCTTCTTTTATTAAAACTTTCCAGCCATCACACACACACTACCCCATCCTAGATGAGATGGCCAAGACTGTGTAACTCTGATCTGGAAGCAAAGGAATGCAAGATGGCAGGGCTTTCCACGAGCGCTCTTGAATCGGCAGCTCCTCCTCCCTCTGCTGCTCCATGACAAATATCTCTTGAAGCTGCTGGATTTCAAAAGGGGATGCAACAAGAAGGATGCGGCACCTGTCGCAAACCCTTGCGTGCGTGTCAAGTGGTGCTAGAGGCAGCACTTGCTCACCCTTTCTTAGCCTCCCTGCAAAAGAGACCTTCGCTTTCTTGCCCCTTTCACAATGTTGAGAATATCGGAGGCTTTTTTTGACTTAGCCTGGCTTTGCCCCTGTTTAACTACAACTCTTCAGCTTTCAGGCAGGAAGACTGGAAGAAGCACTGATTACTTCTTAAAGGCTTTTCGGAAAGATCCAGCAGGAGCCAGATTGGGGTGAAATTGGTAAAAGGAAGAGTGCCTGCTCTCAGTCACCTCTTTACAGAACAGTAAGAGCTGGGCCCCTGCGCATGGAGAAGCTTCCTGAAATGTTCAGGTGCAATTTCTTGTTGCTTCCCTCTATTCCATGAATGGCAGAAAATAAATAGATTGGAAAATCTGCAACAGCATGAATCTAAAGCAGCTCTTGCAGCACTGTACTCGCCATGACACCATCCAAGCGTCTATTCCAAAGTCAGCAAGTTCAGTGGGGCTTTCCGCTGGCAGGTAATGCTCTGATTCAGATTTCATCCTTAATTGCTAACCAGGATTACAGAACCATGGCATTAGAAGGGCTCTTACGAGCACAAAAATCCCCTGCTCAGGGCAGGATCCAGCCAGCCACAGCCACCTTGAGAGATGCCTGTTAAGCCTTTGCTTAACTTGCAAAGGAGAACCCACATACACACTACCCACAGAAAACTGCTCCTTGGTCAAGCAGCTCTCGCATTTCAGATGTTTCGCCAAAATGTTCTTCTCTTCAGTTTCCAGCCATATGGATTAAATTGCCCAGCTATCCCTATTTACCAAGAACAATTTATATTCCGTTTTTTTCTTTTGTACCTGTGCCTATTTTGCCTGCTGATCCCACTTAAAAATGTTGCTGGTGCACACAAACATGCAATAGTTATTTTTCAGGTTTCGGCAATCTCCCCAGCTCTCTAAGAGTTAAACCTCTCACTAGTGGGAAGAGATGCTTCTTGTCTCCGATGCATGGACAGGCAAATGCGTGGGCACAAAATTCCTGGGAATGGCTCCTCCTCCTGCCCTGTGCCCATCTGTCCAGATAGGAAATGTTGCTTGTGCTGATCTCAAATTCTAGTCTCCGAGCAGTGCTTAAACTACAGCTTCCTGGTCCAGGCATCACAAGAAACCATGATGCAAACCAGCAGAATATCAACACCAAAGACAACTACTGAGGAAGCAGAAGGACCAGAAGCATGGAGGACAAAGCCTGCAAATGCGTATTACACCAGAGCTGAGTCTATGTTTGAGTTGTGAAGAATAGCAGACTTTTTCTTTAGCACTGTTTTTACAGCATGGAGGATGGACCCTCCTTGCTTGGCTGAAGGAATGAGGCAATAAGGATGCTCTATTTTTATGAGGTTAGCACAGGGAAATGAGAGAGTGAGGGTGCCAGTTAGAGGCTACCTCTTTCATTTCCTTTGATGCAGCTCCTGCTTTGCACGAGCAACTAAAACTCTTTCTGCAGTGGATTGCCTTCATAATTTAAATGCTTATTTGTATGAATTTTACGCTAATATGTATTTTTGTACACATTTTAACCATAATGCACACACATTTTTATACATTTTTGAGCCAAGGACTGTATCACAAAATTCATGCAAAATCCAGAGGAAGACTGCTCTTCCATCTGCATACTAGTCCAGAAAATGAGAATCGGTTCAGTCTGCTTAAAAGTGTAAACCATACAAACTCCTTGAGTATCCCTCAGCAAAATAAATTGCTCTGAACTGCCCAGAAAGCTTCAGCTATTAGGTGATACAGAAGTACAATAATGAAGTGGCGGGAAGATTTCAAGATGGCATCAGGAGTAAATCTTACCTTGTCAATGAAGGAAGCAAATCTGTTGTTGAGAGTCTTAATCTGCTCCTTCTCTTCCTTCTTCACTCTCTGGATGGTTGGGTCAATCTCCAGGTTGAGAGGTGTCAGGAGGCTTGGATTGACTGTAACCTCATGGATGCCACCAGCTCCAACTCCATAGCCACCACCACCACCAATGACCCTATACCCAACTCCACCATGACCTAACCCATAACCATATCCAGATCTGACTGTACGGTAGCCACCCATGGAAATTCTTTTACTTGCTCCGAAACCATGGAGGCTTCTGCTGCCAAAGCCACCACTGACATGTCCAAAGCCTGGACCACCTCCTCGGGAGAATGAAACAGTGCTAAAGCTAGTTCGGTTACCTGGGATAACAGCTGAAGATGCACTAAAATTCTTACTAACTCTGACTGTTTTTTGAGCCATTGCTCCTGAGCACAAGGCAAAAATGAAGAGAGAGAAAGAGAGAGGGGAGAGAAGAATCTCAGTCTACAAAGGTGAGAGGATTCTCCTGAAAGTGTGAGGGCTTTGCCTTTTATCTTCTTCAAGATCTGGGCTTGGCTGCTGGAAAGCATAGGTCATTGGACTGAATTAATCACATTGGCATGCTTTGGCATAAAGCCTTTCTCATACCTCCTAAATGTACTTAAGGTAATGGTCTGGCAGACTTGCAAAAGTGTAGCATTTTCTAACTCCATTTTATAGTTCCATAGTTTCCCTAAGGCATCACTTTTAACTTCATATAAAACAATCAGAAGCTTTTTTCTGTTCCGACCCCTGATGGGAATGAAGCTGTCACATGAAGTGAGAGTTGCTGAGGCAGCTCCTTCAACCCTGATTCTCAACAACACATACTTTCACCATTCTGTGGGTGTTCTTTCCTGGAGCATGCCGGAACCCTCCATGAAGTCAAGGGAGGCAGAAGTGAGCACAAGTGTACTCATGCTTGTCTTCAGGAGGAGCAGGAGGGACTCGTATTGCAGGCTCGGCTGGGAAGGGTCCATGGAAATTTCACTAGGGACCCTCAGGACTGTTCTTCCAAAGAGCTTCATCAAGGTTTCGGAGCTCCTGGAAGAACTTCACCTCTCCTTTGTAAGGAGCTGGGAAGGAAACTCCCATCCCACACTGCTTTGCACCTACTTCAAGCAGGCCCCTTGCACCCAGGCCCAGCAAAAGATCACTCAGCACCTGAAGTGGCACCACATCACATCCTCTACCTCTTTATCCTAGTCTCTGTCGTTATCACAACAATGGCTCTGTAGGGACTCACCTGTTGGGAAGGAGGAGCTGCAGCTCTTGCCAAAGACTCGCAGAGCTTTGGGGGTGCAACAAGGCAACTATTTGGGAGCACATGCTTGCCACTTCCTGGCTGCAGAGATGCCACTGTAAGAGAGGGGCTGGCAGGTGCCCCAGAACTCTCGTTGGAGGTGGCAACAGGGCCAGGCATAACTGACTGCCTTTTTCCTGTGTTAAACTGATGCAGGATTGCACCTTAAAACTGGGGAAAATACTGTTTATCGGGGGTAAAATTTTAATGTACGTGCTTGCTAATGTTTTTGTTCAGAAGTTAGACCAAATAAACATATCCAAAATCTGACGAATCAGAGCATTGGAACACCCTTAAATGGCACTCATGTACTAATTTGTAGGGATGAATGAGCATTGTTTTTCTTCACACAAAACATCAAACTTGCCCGATTCAAAACTGCAAACCTGAGTGTGGGCAAGAGAAAACATTCTCTAAAAATGTTTGCAAATCTTCAAATATGTGCTTGAATTAAGAAAAAGACACAAATTTTGCAAGGGAAAAATGCTTTGAAATGCCACATTTTTAAAAGGGTGCCATTTAACACTCTGCAGATTGATCCAATAGTCCCTACTCAGCACCCAGAAGGGCCATGGGATGCTCTGGATTCCCGAAGCTCAGACTGGAAAAGAGCTCTCACCTTGGATGGGGGTCAGTTTGGATTACTCTCCCTGCCCACCAAGCAGCTGGTACATGTGGCTCCCTCTCTGAATAGGTAAAGCCAAGCTCAGAAAAGGAGTAAAGGGGCATTCTGGGGAGTAGGAAGAGGAGGAGAGTTGGCCTGTCAGGTTTTAATGTTTCCTTCCAGCTTCCTTCCTTCTCACCTGAAATGCTATCGCTAGAGAAGCAGAATCGACCACCTAATCGATTTGCAGGGTGGGAGAAACAGGAAGCTGAAGATCAACGCCTCATTCCTTCCACCCTGCAAAGATGCCAGCCACCCTCCCAAGTTATGAAGCTTGCAGGAAGAGATGCGTGCGGAATGCATTTTGCAGGTGGGAATCCTCAGATTTCCAGGCAACTTTCTCACTGCCGTAAGTCCACCTCATGCCGAGCTTTCATGGGGGTGTCTGACAGGAAGCAGCTGCAAGGGAGTCTGTGAAACTGGCCTGCACACATTGCACAAAGAAGGTTTCATTCACTTGACTGTGGCTCGGCTCACTTCCTGGCCAGAGCCGAGTATGGACAGGAGTCTGGCCAGTGCAAGAGAGCAGGTTTCTGGCTGGATCTCCACACCCCTCATGTCAGGCCTGCCCGTTGGATTGTATCCTGAGTCTATACAGATAAATGTACAGAATCTGGGACAGTTATTGCACAGTTCTCACATTCAGTTACATTTGTTGAAGCAGTTGAACAGCAATTACAAATATAAGCAAAAATCAAAGAACGGAGCATTGAACTGTTTGTAAGATTTTGCTGAGCTTTTTTACCTATCCCTGCTAATCTACAGGCTAGCTTTCCATTTTAAAAAATGTCATGTCTCAGAGACTAGTAATTAATTCTAATAGTCTAGAGCTAACCAGGCCCAGAAACTTGGTATTGTGTTTATTATAATAACCCATAAGAGCAGACACATGTCGCTGTCGGTGCCAGAGTGCCTAGACTCTGAAAGCTAGATACTTGAAATGTGGCAGCAGTACTATGTTTAGTGGCTAAGTCATGTCTGATCCATCGCGACCCCATGGACAACATTCCTCCAGGCTCTCCTGTCCTCTACCATCCCCCAGAGTCCACCCAAGCCCACTCCCACTGCCCCTGTGACCCCATCTAGCCACCTCAGCCTCTGCAGTCCCCTTCTCCTTTTGCCTTCAATATTCCCAGAAGCAAGGGGATCCTAAATATGTGCACCACAGTATTGTTTGGTTTTGAAATGAGAATTTCAACATTAATTTGTGATCATGGCCAAAGATTGGCTTTGTTTCTTGGTTGCATGTGATCCCTTTAAAACCAGCCCACCTGCCCACCAACCAACCTCCTATTCAACATGACCTCATCAGCTTTATGCCCGTTTATGACATTGTGCAACAATCGGATGAAGGCTCCATGCACCTGTGAGGAAGCACCATCAGGAAAGCAAAAACAGATGCATCCTGCCCAAGTTCATCGAGGATGCACTTCTGTGGAGCCTTTGAACTGGTTCTTCAGTGAGTGGAACCAAGGGTTGACTTGGCCATGGAGCACCACTTCCAAGAGTGCCAGATGTTCAGAGGTCTCTTTAAGAGCATCCAGAACTGACTGCTGGACTGCATATTGTTGGTAGTGAAACATTCCCTCAAGCAGAGGTTGAAGAGCAATCCTTTCACAGCCACTGAAAAAAGCAGCACCACAGACTTCCGCATAAACAGCCAAAACTCTAATGATTCTTCTGCCACCTTTGCTTTAGTCATATTCCCTGCTCTTTCACAACTTCTACCTCCTCTAACCACCAGTGTTTATATCCAATGGACTGTATCCATAAGTCTCATTCATTTTGGGTGGGCCTAATCTCAGTAGGACCAATGTTGGATACTACTCCAAGGAACCAACTTCTTTGATTCAGCCATGAGCAGACATTGTTCTCTGCAGTTTAGTGTTGCTCATAGGCAAGTGAGGGGACAACCTGGAAAAGGAAGAGGAAAGGAAGACCAAGGAGGGCTGGACAGCAGTAGGAGGGAACAAGAGGGGGTGTCTCTGTCCCATGGTGAGCCTACAAGGGAGTCTGTACCTCGTTGGTGTGTGAGAAGACATTGCATGGATTAGGGGGCAACAGTATGGATCGATTGCCTTTTCTGTGATGTTTCATCGATGCACCAAAAGGCTCTGGTGCAAGAGGAAAAGTTCATGAAGAACTCCAAATTCTGGGGAATTTTGGGAGTTTGGAAGAATTGGAGGATTTTGGAAACATCACTACTCACTAGTTCCATGGTTCAAAACCTGATCCTAAAATACATCATCTCTGTCTCCTAGTTCACACAATCACCGTTAGGGGGCTCTGTTTACCCTTCCATAGGATGAATTCATACTTGAATTGGCCCTTTCTGCTGGTATTTATGTTGCTTTGATAGATTTTACAAGGCCCTGGAGCATCTGTCTGCACAGTACAAGGTGAACCAGAGCCATTTTTATGAGGAACCGCCCCTTTATTTCTCAGCATATAAAATAACATCCTACATCGTCCTACCTAAAGGAAAATCAAGAGGATGGGTGGATTGCACAAGGCCCAACTTTGCCATAATAACTCTGTACTTTTATTGCACTTTCTATGTAAGTCTCTTGATATTGCTTGATCTAGCTAGCCAAGAACGTTCTGCTCCTACAGGATTTATAAAGTTTGTAGTCTTTCTGCAAGGGAAGTTTGTAGTTTCTGCAAGAGAAGAAAATGTTGTCAGCTTGATTGGAACTGGGGAGCATTGAGAAAAGGTCGTGGGAAACAAAAGGACATGGAGCTTGGAAGCAAGTGAGTTCTTGAAAAAGAAGGACTCGGAGGTAGAGAATGAATAAAGATTGGGGGGAAATGACAGAGAACCCTTCCTCTTAGTTTCATCTCATTTCTTGCACGTGGTCAAGCCAAATGCTCTATCATAATAAAGATATTTTATGCAGTTGTTTGATACGTAATTATATAAGTAACAAATAGGTAACTGCCAGAAAATATTAGTGATATACTAAAAATGTCATGGTTAATCCAATAGCATCTTTTTTTGGCCAGCTAGCAGATGAACTGTCACACTGGGGGAGCCTGAAGAAGCAAGAATTCATTCAGGAACTCTTCAGTATTTTAATATTTTCAGCACTGGTGTGAAGATCCTCCCAGAAAACCTTTGAGCAAAAGCATTCAAATTTCTTTGTCCAGTTCAAGGTGTTACACACATGATTTCAGCCATGTTTTCACATCGACAGAATTTTCCTCCAGGTTAACTTAGCTGCCTACAGAGCAATCTATAAAATTTAACTGCATCCTTCTATGTTAAAGAGTTATAAAAACATTTTAAAAATCTTGCAGTGTACCAGTTTTACAGATGCTAGTAAAGGGAATCCTAGGAGGCAATTCATAAGCCCAGGTAAAAATGCCTACTGAGTTAAGCCTTCGGACATGATCTCAATCAGCATTGGTCAACTCTTACCCTGCTCAGAAACCAAG